ATTTGAGAAGATCCAACATCCATTTATGATAAAAATTCTCAATAAAATGGGTATAGAAGGAAAGTACCTCAACATAATAAAAAGACCATATATGACAAACCCACAGCCAACATCATACTCAATGGGGAAAAATTGGAAGCCATCCCTCTGAGATCAGGAACAAGACAAGGGTGACCACTCTAACCACTCTTATTCAAGATAGTACTGGAGGATTTGGCCAGCACAATGAGGTAAGAAAAAGAAATAAAACGAATCCAAATTGGCAAGGAGGAAGTGAAACTCTCACTGTTTGCAGACGATGTGATTTTATATATAGAAAATCCTAAAGAATCCATGGGAAAACTATTAGAAATAATCAACAACTACAGCAAAGTTGCAGGATAGAAAATCAACTTAAAAAATCAGTTGCATTTCTATACTCTAATAACGAACTAACAGAAAGAGAACTCAAGAATACAATCCCATTTACAATCGCAACAAAAAGAATAAAATATCTATGAATAAATTTAATCAAGGAGGTGAAAGACCTATACAATGAAAACTATAAGACATTATTGAAAGAAATCAATGATGACATCAAGAAATGGAAAGATATTCCATGCTCATGGATTGGAAGAATAAACACAGTTAAAACATCCATATTACCTAAAGCGATCTACAGATTCAAAGCAATACCAATCAGAATCCCAATGACATTCTTCATGGAAATAGAACAAAGAATCCTAAAATTATATGGGGCAACAAAAGACCCCAAATAGTGAAAGCAATCCTGAGAGAAAAGAACAGGTTGGAGGCACCACAATCCCTGACTTCAAAATATACTACAAAGCTATAGTAATCAAAACAGTAATCAAAAACAGTAATCAAAACTGTTTTGTGTGTACAAAAACAGACACACAGATCAATGGAACAGAATTGAAAGCCCAGAAATAAAACCACACATATAGGGACAGCTAATCTTTGACAAAGGAGCTAAGAACATACAATGGAGAAAGGAAAGTCTCTTCAATAAATGGTGGGAAAACCGGACAGCAACATGCAAAAGAATGAAGGTAGACCTTTACACAAAAATTAACTCAAAATGGATTAAACACTTGAAGGTAAGATGTGAAACCATAAAACTCTTTGACATTCACATTTGAAGGATTTTTTGGAATACCATATCTACTCAGGCAAAAGAAACAAAAGAAAAAATAAACAAATGGGACTTCATCAAACTAAACAGCTTCTGTAAAGCAAAAGAAACCATGAACAAAATTAAAGACAACCCACCAACTGGGAGAAAATATTTGCAAATCATATATCCGACAAGGGGTTAATCTCCAAAATATATAAAGAACTCATACAATTCAACAACAAAAAAACAAACAACCCCATCAAAAAATGGACAGAGGAGATGAACAGACCCAAAGAAGATATATGGATGGCCAACTGGCACATGAAAAGATGTTCAACATCACTAATCATCAGAGAAATGCAAATCAAAACTACAATGAGATATCCCTTTACACCTATTAGAATGGCTATAATTACCAGGACAAAAAACAAGACATGTTGGAGAGGATGTGGAGAAAACGGAGCCCTCATACACTGTTGGTGGGAATGCAACTAGTACAGCCGCTATGCGAAACAGTATGGAGATTTCTCAAAAAATTGAAAATTGAAATACCATATGACCCAGCTATCACACTACTGGGTATTTATCCAAAGAACATGAAATCAACAATTCCAAGAGACTTATGCACCCCTGTGTTCACTGCAGTATTATTCACAATAGCCAAGACATGGAAGCAACCCCAGTGCCCATTGACTGACAGACGGATAAAGATGTCGTATCTATATATACAATGGAATACTACTCAGCCATAAAAAAGGCAAGATGGTCCCATTTGCAACATGGATGAAACTTGAGGGCATTATGTTAAGTGAGATAAGCCAGACAGGGAAAGACAAACACCATATGATTTTACTCATATGTGGAAGATAAACAAATTCATGGACAAAGAGAACAGATTAGTAGTTACCAGAGGGGAAAGGGGTTTGGAAGTGGGCATAAGGGGTAAAGGGACACATATATATGATGACTGACAAATAATAATGTACAACTGAAATTTCACAATGTTATACACTATTATGATATCAATAAAAGAAAAAGATAAATAACAAGTGCTGCAGAGGATGTGGAGAAAAGGGAACTCTCATACACTGCTGGTGGAAATACGAACTGGTACAGCCACTATGGAAAAAAGTATGGAGATTTCTCAAAAAACTCAAAAATAGAAATACGATATGATCCAGCTATTGCACTTCCGGGTATTTATCCAAAGGACATGAAAAAAACTAGTTTGAAAAGATACTTGCACCCCCATGTTCAGTACAGCATTATTCACAATAGTCAAGACTTGGAAGCAACCTAGGTGCCCATCAATGGATGAATGGATAAAGATGTGGTATATATATATACAGTGGAATATTACTCAGCCATAAAAAAGATGAAATCATGTCTATGGCAACAACATGGATGGATCTTGAGAGTATTACACTAAATGAAATAAGTCAGACAGAGACAGACAAATACCATACGATTTCACTCATACGTGAAAATAAACTCACAGATACAGGGAATAGATTGATGGTTACCAGAGGGGAATGGGGTGGGAGTAGGGTGAAAGGGGTAAAGGAGTATATATGTATGGTGATGGATGTAAACTAGACTTCTGGTGGTGAGCATGATGCAGTCTATACAGAAGTCAAAATATCATAATGTACTCCCGAAAATTTACACAATGTTATAAACCAATGTGACCTCAATAAAAAAAACAAAACAAAACAAAAAACATTTTGGAATCACCATTGTGGGGAATATGATACACAGTCAACAAGAATCAGTTTTATTAAATGTCTAGCTGTAAAACCATGAAATTTTAGCAGATCCAATAAACATGGTCTCACAAATCTTAACAATGTTCAAATAGTTCGAGGGAAGGAGTGAAAAAAGCAATGAAAATTAACAAGGCTATAGTAAAATATGATGGATTGTGTAATTTTTTTTCACCTTTCTCTGTCTCCTATAGGAGAGCATTCCTTACATATGGAGGGTATCAAATCAATGTCTGCTCAGTTCAAGACAGAAAGGATGAAATGGAGAAATGCACTAATAGTAATCAACAAGGTTACCTTGAACTTATTCAAAATAACCTTTGGCTTCACCACCAAACTGGCCTTAAATGATATAATCACACATAGGACCTGCTTGGTTTCCTACTCTCTTCATCTTCCCCCTCCTCACTACTAACACCATTTAAACTCCCAGTTATAGGCTCAGTCCTATACTAAGCTCTAGGATCAAACTTGACATTAGTTAGAAAAGATTAGAAGGCACTGCTTCAAATCTTGGAAGACTGTATCTAGTCACTTTATATTCTTCTTCTGGTAATTGTATTCCAGTCTTGCTCTCTATGCCTGAGCTCCACTTTTAAAAACAGCCTCATATCCCAGTTCCTTTAGGTTTGGAGCTCTACCTTGCTCTTCCTAGTCTGTCTGCATATACCCCCAATGCCTCAAAGATTCGAGTCCTGCCTGAGTCCAAATCTCTATGGTTGAAGACCTGTTTCCTCTTGATATGCTTATGTGATGCCAACTACCGGTGTGCCTAATTCATGGAATATTTCCAACACTTAGATTTCCCTCATTGCCATGATCTGCTTATCTGCCCTTTAGGATACCCTGATGCCAGCAACTTGGTTGAATCAAAGGCAACTGTCTTGTTCATCTCTGTAACTCCACAGACTAGCACAGTGCCTCACACTGTGCTCTTTCTTTCTATCTTGAGTAACTGATTAGATATCCTTCCTTAGTTTGCAGATGAATCCATTCCCCCAACTGTCATGTCTAGCTCCAGGTCCAGGTCCTCACCAATCTGCCAGGCCAATATAAATCATGGAAGTTACAAAAGCTTTGTGATCACCTTCTTTACAAGTCTTTAAGTAAGCAGTAGGTAACTACCTTTCTGAAATAGCTAATGGTATCCTGTACAGAAATATATAATAAATTAGGTAACAAAAGCTGTGTGATAATCTTCTTTTCACGTCTTTAAGTAAACAGTAGTCAACTATCTTTCTGAAACACTTAAATGCTAGCCTATGCAGAAATATGACGGATTAATTAATATTTCAACTTCTCTTCTAGGACTATGAATTTATAACATACAAACTAAACGGTAAATAGTCTTTTGAGAATAAATCTAAAGTATTTAGTCAGATAAACAACCCTTCAAAGAAAACAAATCTTCAAAGAAAATGTCTGGAATTACAACTCTTAATCACATGTTTTCCCCTAAACTTGTCATTAAAACTTGAAAAGCAACAAAAACTTTCATATTTTATCAGGGTCCACACTCGCCCTTCCCGCTTTTTGTCCCACCCACCTCCATTTGTGCATACTACATGATACCCAAAGGAAGAAATGTCTCAATTGCTTTGGAAAGTATGAATAGCTCTATTCTTCAATAAGTTTTTATCTCTTTTACCTTCTAGAATTTTGTCCTGATAAGAAATGAATTGCTGAACATTTTTTAGAGTGGTTGCAAAGGCAAGAGATAATCCAGAAAATAAAAGAATGACCATTTCATCCAAGTATTTGCTCTCACTGAATGCTTGACCAAAAAATGTGTACCTTAAAATTTAGTCTGCTTCAAAGGACAATACTGAAGATGGTTAGTAGCAAATAATTTTGTTCAGGCGTTCCAATGATATATTACCCTCTAGAACAGGGTGCAAAAAATAAACAGCAAGTAGTGGAATTAATGATCTTCCAAATTCTGCCTCCTTTTGGGAAGTTCCACTCATTAATGTTTACAGTGTGCAGATCAGGAAAATATCAATTTGACTTTATCTTATATGAAGGAACTCTCAGACATCCTAACCTAACAGCCAAGAAGTCACACCACTGCACCTATCTCTCTCATTTACTGCCTTTGAAAAACAGGTAAATCAAAGAACCTTGTCAAGTTGTTTCAAATGCAGGTAACAGGAAGCCATGTTCCTCTGCAGCTTGGCCAAGTCCGGATCCATTTGATCAGATGCATACAATCTCAGAGAATAATAGTACCAGTGTAAGGTATCAGCGTAATTTTGTACCTAAAGTTTAAAAAGAAATAACAAAATCACAGAGATATCTCTACATTTGATCCTAATTTTTCCAACTCACCCCTAGAAACAAACAAAAAATGGTATTTTGTTTTTAGGCAACCAAAACACAATACCCTCTTTAGTTGAGTTCTAAGTGCATTTTATTATCACTCTTGATTAGTGTAAGTTATAGATAAAGTGTCAATAAATATTCTCTCTTTTCCCCCTACATTAGAAAACTCACAGAAACCATCAACAAAATGAAAAGGCAATGTGCTGAACAGGGTAAAATATTTGCAAATCATATATCTGATAAGGGGTTAATATCTAAAGAACTCATACAACTCAATAGTAAAAGAAGATACAATTTTAAAAACGGGCAGAGGAAATGAATAGATATTTTTCCAAAGACATACAAATGGCCAATAAGTACATGAAAAGGTGTTAAACATCACTAATCATCAGGAAAATGCAAATCAAAACCATAATGAGATATCACCTCACACCTGTTAGAATGGCTATCATCAAAATGAAAAGAGATAACAAATACTAGCAAGGAAGTGGAGAAAAGGGAAACTTTGTACACTGTTAGTTGGAATGTGAACTGGTATGGCCACTATGGAAAACAGTATGGAGGTTTCTCAAGATGTTAAAAATAGAACTACCAAGGGCCAGCCTGGTGGCGTAGCAGTCAAGTTCGTGCGCTCTGCTTCAGCGGCCCGGGGTTCGCTGGTTCAGATCCCGGGCGTGGACCAATGCACTGCTTGTCAAGCCATGGTGTGGCTGCATCCCATACAAAGTGGAGGAAGATGGGCACAGATATTAGCCCAGGGGCAATCTTCCTCAGCAAAAAGAGGAGGACTGGCAATGGATGTTAGCTCAGGGCTAATCTTCCTCACACACCCACACACAAAAATAGAACTACCATACAATCCAGCAATCCCACTTCTGGATATATATCCAAAGGAAATGAAATCATTATCTCGAAGAGATATCTGTACTCCCATGTTCATTGCAGTTTTATTCACAATAGCCAAGGTATGGAAACAACCTAAATGTCCTTTTACCGATGAATGGATAAAGAAAATATGGTATATGTATATAGTGCAATATTATTCAGCCATAAGGAAGAGGGAAATCCTGCCATTTGTAACAACATGAATGAACCTGGAGGACATTATGCTAAGTGAAATAAGCCAGACAGAGAAAGACAAATATGTAAGGTATCACTTACATGTGGAATCTTAAAAAAAAAAAAGAAAAAGAAAAGTTGAACTCATAGAAATGGAGAGTAAAATGATGGTTGCCAGGGGCTCGGGGGTGAGGGAAATGGGGAGATGATGGCAAAAGGGAACAAAAGTTCAGTTATAAGATGAAAAAGGTCTGAAGATCTAATGTACAGCATAGTGACTATAGTTGATAATACTGGATTGTATAATTGAATTTTTCTAAGAGAGTAGAACTTGAGTGTTCTCACCAGAAAAAAAAAAGGTAAATATGTGTGAGGTGATGGATGTGTTAATTAAATCGATTGTTAGAACCCTTTCACAATGTATACATATATCATATCATCATATTGTACACTTTAATTATATTATAATTTTGTCAATTATACCTCAATAAAGCTAAAAAAAATTTCACACATGGGATGAAGAATCTAAGAGGGTGGTGAACCACCCTAGAAAACTCAAAATACAATTTAAAAGTTATTAACATGATGATAAAAATTTTAAAAGAGAACAGCCATATTTCACCATGCTAATACAGCTATTTTCATTTTTCTACATTCCATTTTAACTTTTTCCTTTCGTACTTTTATATAGTTGTAATCATAGCTTATATTAGAATTTCATGCTCTATTCTTTCCCCTTAACTTTGTTTTGTAAATACTAATCTATGTTGCTATGTAGTCTTCACAGTTGTCAATTTAAGGAATATATAACATTCAATTAAGTTAATATACCATGATTTTCTTAATCTTGGATATTTAGTTAATGTCCAGGGTTTTTACTATTATAATTAAATGCTGCTGTGTTTTTGAACAAAAATATTTTTTTTACTTTTGAGGCACTTTAAAATTTTCAATGGTAACAAGCTATTAGGAAAAATATGATAGAAATAACCTGGATAACTTTTTTTTTTTTTAAGATTTTATTTATTTATTTTTTCCCCCCAAAGCCCCCGTAGATAGTTGTATGTCATAGCTGCACATCCCTCTAGTTGCTGTATGTGGGACTCGGCCTCAGGATGGACGGAGAAGTGGTGCCTTGGTGCGCGCCCGGGATCCGAAACCGGGCCACGAGCATCGGAGCGCGCACACTTAACCACCAAGCCACGGGGCCAGCCCTGGATAACTTTTTTTAAGCTAAAAAAATTCAGATTGCTCATGCACATCAAGTTAAGGTAGATGAGTCCCATATCAAGAAGTTGGGATACTTCAGTTTTCAATGAAGAACAGGAGTAATCAAGACCTGAAAGGCAAAAAATGCACTCTTCAATTAGAAACAACTGTGCTGAGTAGGTACAACACTGCCTTTGACTATTTAGAATTAAAATTACATTCTCCAGAGTTGGAAGTGAGAGTTTAAAAAATCATTCTGCAAGACTGGAAAATGAGGGAAAAGAAGACGACTCAATAGGAGAAGGGAATTTGGAAGTAATTTTTCACCTGCTCATTAAGGAAATAGATACAGGCCCTCTAAAAGAAAACAAGGACACCATTCTATTTTGCAGCACCTAACCTTAAGGTGTAAAACAAGACATTTTTGGAGCTGGCCTGGTGGCGTAGTGGTTAAGTTTGTGTGCTCTGCTTCAGCGGCCCGGGATTTGCAGGCTTGGATCCTGGGCGCGGACCTATGCACCACAGGCGTCCCACATATAGGGTAGAGGAAGACGGGCACAGGTGCTAGCCCAGGGCCAATCTTCCTCAGCAAAAAGAGGAGGATTGGTAACAGATGTTAGCTGAGGGCTAATCTTCCTCACCAAAAAACAAAAACAAAAACAAAAACAAAAACAAAAACAAGATGTTTTGATATATATATACATTGTGAAATGATCACCACAATTAAGCTAATTAACTTACCATCACCTCACACAGTTACTTTTTTTTTTTGGTGAGAACACTGAAGATTTACTCTCTTAGCAAATTTCAAGTATACATTATTATAACTATAGACACAATGCAGTATGTTAGGTCTCTATAACTTTTTCATCTGATAACTGAAAGTTTATATCCTTTGACTAACATATCCCCAATTCCCCCAACCCCCAACCACCAAATCCTGATAACTACCATGCTACTCTCTGTTTCTATGAGTTCGACTTTTTTAGATTCCACATATAAATGAGATCATGCAGTACAGTCATGCACTGCATAACAATATTTTGGTCAATGACAGACTGCATATACAATGATGGTCTCATAAGAGTAGTACCACATAGCCTAGGTGTGTAGCAGGCTATACCACCTAGGTTTGTGTAAGTACACTCTATGATGTTCACACAATGACGAAATAGCCTAACAATGCATTTCTCAGAATGTATCCCCATCATTAACTAACACGTGACTGGATTTGTCTCTGTGTCTGGCTTATTTCACTTAGCAAAATGTCCCCCAGGTTCATCCATGTTGTCACAAAAGGCAGGTTTTCCTGTAAATTGCTTTGGGTAGTGTGGACATTTTAACAATATTAATTCTAATGAACAAGGGATATCTTTCCATTTATTTGTGTTTTCTTCAATTTCTTTCATCAATGTCTTATAGTTTTCAGTGTACAGATCTTTCATCTCTTTGGTTAAATTTATTCCTAAGTATTTTTTTGTTTTAGATGCTATTGAAAATGGGATTGTTTTCTTAATTTCTTTTTTGAATAGGTCATTGTTAGTGTATAAAAAAGGAACTGATTTTTGTATCTTGACTTTGTATCCTGCAACTTTACTGAATTTATTTGTTCTAACATATTTTTGGCAGAGTCTTTAGGGTCTTCTATATATATAGGATCATGTCATCTGCAAACCAAGACAATTTACTTCCTTTCCAATTTGGATGGTTTTTTGTTTCTTTTCCTTGCCTAATTGCTCTGGTTAGGACTTTTAGTACTACGTTGAATAGAAGTGGTGAGAATGAGCATCCTTGTCTTGTTCCTGATCTTGGAGGAAAAGCTTCTAACTTTTGAGTATGATGTTACCTGTGGGCTTGTCATACATGGCCTTTATTATGTTAAGGTACATTCCTTCTATACCTAATTTATTGAGAGGTTTCATAACGAAAGGATGTTGAATTTTGTTAAATTTTTCTTTCTACATCTATTGAGATGATCATATGATATTTGTCCTTCATTCTGTCAAACATGGTGTATCATATTTATTGATCTGCATATGTTGAACCATCCTTGCATTCCAGGGATAAATTCCACTTGATCATTGTGTATGATCCTTTTAATGTGCTGCTGAATTCAGTTTGTTAGTATTTTGTTGAAAGTTTTTGATCTATGTTCATCAGGGATATTGGCCTGTAGTTACCTTTTCTCGTAGTGTCCTTGTCTGGCTTTGGTCTCAGGGCAATGCTGGCCTGATAAAATGAGTTTGGAAGTGTCTAAGATGAGTTTGATTTTGAGAAGGATTGGCATTAATTCTTCTTCAAATGGTAGGATTCACCAGTGAAACCATCTGGTCCTGGGCTTTACTGTGTTGGGAGATTTTTGATTAATGATTCAATCTCCTTAGTCATTATTGGTCTGTTCAGATTTTCTATTTCTTCATGATTCAGTCTTGGTGGGTTGTATGTTTGTAGGAATTTATCCATTTCTTATACGTTGTTTAATTTGTTGGCAGATCAGTTCACAGTAGTCTCTTATGATCTTTTGTACTTCTGTGGTATCAGTTGTAATGTCTCCTCTTTCATTTCTAATTTCATTTATTTGAGTCCATTCTCTTTTTTTCTTGGTTAGTCTAGCTAAAGATTTTTCAAAAAACTCACTCTTATTTTTGTTGAAATTTTCTGTTGTTTTGTTTTTCTGGTCTTTATTTCATTGATTTCTGCTCTGATTTTGTTATTTCCTTCCTTCTGCTATCTTTGGATTTAGTTGGTTCTTCTTTTTATAGTTTCTTAGTTGTGAAGTTAGGTTGTGTATTTGAGATCTTTCTTTTTTGTTAACACAGGTATTTATCATTATAAACTTCCCTTTTAGAACTACTTGTGCTGCATCCCATAAGTTTTTGTATGCTGTGTTTCCATTTTTGTTTGTCTCAAGATTTTTTGAATTTCCTTTTGATTTCTTCTTTCACCCACTGATTGTTCAAGAGTATATTGTTTAATTTCTATCTATTTGTGAATTTTCCAATTTTCCTCCTGTTATTGATTCCATTTTGAGTTAATTTTCGTATAAAATGTTGGGTGTAGGTCAAGATTATTTTTTTTGCCTGTGGATGTCCAATTGCTCCAGCAACATTAATTGAAAAGACCATTCTTCCTCCATTGAATACTTTTGCACTTTGCTGAAAATCAGTTGAGCATATTTTCACAGGATTATTTTGGAGTTCTCCATTGTGTTCCATTGATCTATGTGTTTACCTCTAACAATACCACACAGTCTAGATTACTGTAGCTATATAGTAAGTCTTGAAATCAGGTCAAGTGATTCCTCCCACTTTAATCCTCTTTCTCAGAAGTGTTTTAGATATTTTCATTCCTCTGTTTTTATGTATAAATTTTATTGTTTTGTTTTGTTTCTGAGCTAACATCTGGTGCCAATCCTCCTTTTTTTTTTTGCTGAGGTAGATCAGCCCTGGGCTAATAAATGTGCCCATTTTCCTCTACTTTATATGAGACACCGCCACAGCATGACTCGACAAGCAGTGCATCGGTGTGTGCTCGGGATCCGAAACTGTGAACCTGGGCTACCAAAGCAGAGCACACGCACTTAACCACTATGTCACTGGGCTGGCCCCTCAGTATAAATTTTAGAGTAATCTTCTCCCTATATATTATTTATTATCTTTTTGCTTGTAACATATATGTATCTTCACATTTAAAGTACGTTTCTTTTAAGCAGTCCATAAAGTTGGGTCTTGCTTTTGTACCCAATTTGACAATATTACTTTGTCACTGTGGTGCCAAGGTCATTTTCATTTAATGTGATTTTACATACACTGAGATTTTAATCTATTATTTTGCTATTTGTTTTCTTTTTGCCCCATCTAAATTTGTTTCCTCTTTCCTCTTTTTCTGCCGTCTCTTAGATTCTTAAGTATTTTTTATGATTTTATTTTGTCTCCTTTCTTGGATTATAGATCCTGCTTTCAATCCTTTTGGATATATACCCAGAAATGGAACTGCTGCCTCATATGATAATTCTATTCTGAATTTTTTGAGAAACCACCATACTGCTTTCTATAGGGGCTGCACTATTTTACATTCTTACCAATTACTTTCAATTTTAAACAATATTTGTGCTGGGCATAGAATTCTAGGTTGACTTTTTTTCTTTCATTATTTTAAAGATGTTGCTCCACTGTGTTCTTGCTTGCATTGCTTCCAATGAGAAATCTGATGTTCTCCTTAATTTGTTCCTCTGTATGTAAGGTGTCTGGCTGATTTAAGATATGCTCTTTATCATTGCTTTTGAGCAATTTGATTATTATGTGCCTTGGTTTAGTTTTATTTGTGTTTCTTGTGTGTAGGGTTTGCTAAGCTTTTTGAATCTGTGGGTTTAGAGTTTTCATTAAGTTTTAAAAGTTTTCACTCATTATTTCTTCAAATATCTATTCTCTCCCTCCTCATTTGGGGATTCCAATTACCTATATCTTAAGCTACCTAAAGTTTTTCCATCACTCACTAATGCTCTTTTAATTTTTTTAGTTTCTTTTTTTTCCTCTGTGGTTCATTTAGGATGGCTTCTATCGCTATGCCTTCCAGTTCACTAATCTTTTCTTCTGCAATGTCTAATCTGATTTTAATACTATCCAATATATTTTTCATCCTAGAAATAGTTTTCATCCCTAGAAGTTTGATTGGGGTCTTTTATATCTTCCATGTCTCTATTTAAATTTTTGAATATATGGAAAACAATTATAAGAGCTATTTTAATGTCCTCCACTAATACTAACTTCTGTGTCAGTTTCAATTGATTGCTTATTCTTTTCATTATAGACTGTGTTTTCCTGCCTCTTTGTATGCTTGGTAATTTATTACTGGATGCCAGACATTGTGAACTTTACTTTGTTGGGTGCTGGATAGTTTTCTATTCCAATAAATATTCTTGACCTTTACTCTGGGAAGCAATTAAGCTCCTTGGGATCAATTTGATCCTTTCAGTCATGCTTTTATGATTTTTTAGGTAGGTCTGGAGCAGTGATCAGTGTAGGACTAATTATTCCCCACTACTAAGACAAGACCCTTCTGAGTTCTCTACCCAATGCCCCACAAATTAGAGGTTTTCCAGTCTGGCTGGTATGAATAGGCTCTATTCCAAGACCTGTGTGAGTGCCAGGCACTCCTCCCTCTAATATTTTTAGATGGTTATTCTGCTGGCATCGGGTATTTTCATCCCATATTGTCCTGAACAGTACTCTGCCAAACACAGGAGGAGGACTCTGTGATTGCTGGGGTTGTCTTTCTGTGCTATGCTTTCCTCTCTGGTACTCTGTCCTATGAATCCTAGCTTCCTTTGTCTCCTTAGACTCTCAGTCTCATCTCCTGAAATTAGGAAGCATGCTAGGATCCACTTCAGTTCCTGTTCCTATGCTACAGCCTAGAAATTCAAGGCAGTAAGCTGCACATTTGCAGTGCTCACCTTGTTTATTTCCTATCTCCCACAGATCACTCTCTGTTGCCTGATGTCCAATGTCTCAAAACCATTTTTTCATGTATTTCATCTTGTTTTTTGCGGGGGAGGGAATCAAGGTTGTTCAGGCAAGAACATAAACTTGGTCTCTATTATATCTTGGTTGGAAGTGGGAATCCACTACTTTTTTTTTTTGGTGAGGAAGATTGGCCCTGAGCTAACACCTGTTGCCAATCCTCTTCTTTATGCTTGAGGAAGAGTGGCCCTGAGCTAACATCTGTGCCTACCTTCCTCTATTTTGTATGTGGGACGCCACCACAGCATGGCTTAATGAGTGATGTAGGTCCACACCCAGGATCTGAACCTGCGAACCCCGGGCCACCAAAGTGGAGTGCACCAAACTTAACCACTGTGCCACTGGGCCAGCCCCTCCACCACAACTTTTTAACAGTACATCTCATTTTTTATTTACACATGGATACACAAATGCACACAAAGATCAGAAGGAAATATACCAAAATTTTAAGAGTGATTAGATCATGAATGGCTATTCTCTACTTAAAAAAACTTATCTGTAGTTTCAAATTTTTCTATAGGAACCTGGATTGTTTTGTAAAGGGAAAAACATTGCTTTTTTTTTTGCATTTTTATTGCACAACTTTTCTAAAGGCTTTTTAAAAGAGCAGTTTTAGGTACACAGCAAAATTGAGAGGAATGTACTGAGATTTGCTATATACCCCCGTCCCCACATATGCATAGCCTCCCCCATTATCAACTTCCTCCACCAGAGTGGTACATTTGTTACAATTGATGAACTTACACTAACACATCATGATCACTCAAAGTCCATAGTTTACATTAGGATTCACTCTTGGTGTGTACATTCTATGAGTTGAGACAAATGCATAATTACATGTATCCATTATTATAGTATCATTCAAAGTATTTTCACTGCCCTAAAAATCCTCTGTGCTCCCCATCACAATTTTAAAGGGAATAAAATCTGTCTGGCTTTTTGTTCCTCTTCTTAAACTAAATTACTTTCCTACGTCTTAACATCCGTGACATCATTTCCCTACACTGTAAGCTCCCAAGGGGATAAATTACATCTCAGTATTTTTAAATAAATTCTTGTCCAGTGCCCATTAACACTCTACATTATGAATGTTTGATATATAGATGGTACCTAAACAGAGAGAGATTATTAAAGTAGTTGATGCTCTATGATTTTTATAGTGAACACACTGTTTCATTTGTTGGGGTAGAGAAAGAATATGAAGAATGAAAATATATTATTCCCAAACCTCAAAACTTCTGGCAGCTTTTTTCCACAGAATGTTGTGTAAACAGCCTACTAAATCTGTTGTCAGTTGTCTTCCTGTTTGGTGACCTGAAAAAAAAAACCCAAGCCCTGAAAACAAGAATCAAGATCTATTACATTAAATAAAGAGTGCTAACTATATTCAGAACCTATGATTTTCTAGTAATGGCTACAAACATAATCACATTCAGACAGATTTTCATCATCAATTTTAGGTTTACTAGCAAAATTGATTATATAATACAATCAGAGTTTGCTAGAATCACAGTAATTCGCCCATCAATCTGCGATAGTTTTCCAGTCTACTTTCTTTTTAACGTTTTTTCCATGTTCTAAATTTGATCATCATCTGGTGCCTTAATGTTACTATGAATGAACAGACAGAAATGCTATAAATCATTAATAAGAAGTGTTTATACTATTATGTACTAACTAGATCAGATCAGGTTCACGAGAAAGGCCAATTATACCTTAAGGCCTCTGTAAAATACTTTAAGACCACATTTACACAAAAACTTTATTACTTTAAATTGTAACTCATGTCTGATTATTTCTGGTCTAGACATTTATAGGGTTCAAATACATTAGCACACATTAAGGTAAAGTTTAAACAATAATAGAATTCTATACCTGCTTCTCTTCCACCCCTTTGGCACTATTAATTTCCACAAAAGTCTTGATTAGAACACTGAGAGTCTCTGACCCCCTAGCCTAGTCAGCAGACTTAGTTTGTTCCGTGACTTAGCTAAAAACACTTACATGAGAGTAAAAAGCTACTTAATGTATCTATTTAAAATATTATAATACTTTGAGAGTATAAGTGTATAATTATATATCACAATACAACTTTAGCTAACTGTAATCTTAGGAAAATTAATTATTCTGGATAACCAAGTTTTCTAGTTAGCTGACAGCTTACTTTCATTAAACATAAAACATTTTTTTATTAAAAAGTCTAAATCATTTCATTTATTAATTTTTCTAAAAATTATGTTTTATGAATTATGTGTTTCTACACATACTTTCTAGTTTTCTGAAGCACAATTTAACCTTTGCTGGACCATTCAAAGTCAACAACACTAACAAGTATTGTATTTTATTGCACTGTTACAATATCACAGTTATGTCTCTGGGAATTATTATAGAGTAGAGTACAGATTGCTATATTTTTAAAAATACTTGAAACTGTTTTATAAAATCTGTAGAGTTGTTTTATTCCCTGTGGTCAAGTTATCTGTATATTTCCCTGTAGACCTTTTCTCTCTTTGTAATATGCTACCATTAAAATGCTAAGTGTTGGAAAACCAGCTAACCAAGCTTATCAAAATTGGGTCTAAAAATAATTGAATTCTTAGTGATAGTCTGAAGGAAGGGTATCATCAGTAACATATAGTTCATAGAATCTAGAATTCAAAAGGCTCATAGAGATTAGTCAAAAGATTTCCTTTTAAAAAATATCAGACTTTGTTTTTTATAAAAGTATAACACATACTTATAAAAATTCAAGCAATCTGGTAAAATATAAAGAAAGCAACAAATCACCTTTATAACAGAATAAATCCCGCTGTTAACATTTAGTGACTATCATTCCAGTTATATCTCTACATACGTGTAGAGTTGGAAGGATGAATTGCGGCAAGAATTTTCTAAGAATGGAATCATACTACCGTGTTCTTCAGGATATAGGGTTCTACTGAGAGGTGAAGGGTTAGGGGAATGCTGAGATTTGGCTCTACATCTCTGCTTCAACCAGAGCAACTCTAGTCTATTTTATTTGGGGGCAGAGTTCATATAAGATTGCATCACAAAAGAATGCTGCTGCTAAAAAGAAGTTAAAAACTTAAAATGTAGTTCACTACTTTCATTTTATAGTTAGAAAAAAAAATCCAGAGATATTATTGACTTGCCTGAAAGTACACAGCTAATTTGAGATCAAAGTGGAAAATGAAATTAGGTTTCTAACCTCACATTTTCCACTACACGTGAGTTTTAAGCTCAGAGATTTGTCTATTTTTGTTGATGTTCTGTTATTTTTTCTTAGGTTCTCATTCTAGCTTTCCAAACATGTGGAATCTGGATAGGTGAGGTATTATAGTTAAAGGCCATTAGGGATGGAAAAAAAAGGAAGTGAGAAAAAGGAAAAATCTATTGCCCTGAGGATTTTGCTATTGCTCTGACATCTACCTTAGAATTACATGCATATTAACACCTTTCTAAAACACTTGCAGAAATCCTACTGACCTATAATGATTTCTTCAATCTTCTCCTTGGCAAGCAACTCTTCCTTCCTTTGTAAAAGCATGTCAATGTGCAGCAGGAGAGCTTTTCCAATATTTTCTGATGACTTAAAATGTTCACAGATAATCTTCAGGAAATAAAATCCAACAGATTCTCTGTTGAATGAGACATAATTTTAAGTAGTGTGAATAACTTGTTTTTTGATCAATGGGACGAAAGTTTATTTGAGTATAAGCAAAACAGGCAAGATAAAACTACATCTGAGCTTAGGTCACATCATTAAATGTCTAAATAAGCCTATTTGTTAACAAGAAATCATTTAATTCAATGTCTGTGTAATTTATTGAGCCACAAACATTTTCTTTTCATGAATATCTTTAGTCAGATAATCATCCCTCTCCTAATATCTAGTTTATGCTTTTTCTCCAGAATTGATGCCAATTTATAAAAATTGGAACATGAGATCCAATAAAGACACATGAACTGACATTAGAAATTTACCAGTTTCTTGTGATGAGAACTTTTAGGATCTACTCTCTTAGCAACTTTCAAATATACCATACAGCAGTGTTAACGATAATCATCATGTTGTACATTACACACAGAGTATTTATCTTATAACTGGAAGTTTATACCTTTTGACCACCTTCTCAAGTCATTAGGCTATACACCTTAAACTTATCCAATGCTGAATGTCAACTATATCTCAATAAAACTGAAAGAAAAAAAAGAAATTTACCAGTTCCCTCTGCCAACAGCTCCTTTAAAAAATTTATTTATGCTTGATTACACAAATAATACACCAGTATATTCTGATTATTTAAAAATGCAAACAGTTCATGGATTGGAAGACGTAATATTGTTAAGATGTCAATACACCCAAAATGATCTACAGATTTAATGCAATCCCTAAGAAAATCCCAATGACATTTTTTGCAGAAATGAAAAACTCCACCTTAAAATTCATGTGGAAGCTCAAGGGACCCCAAAGAGCCAAAAAATCCTGAAACAGAAGAACAAAGCTGGAGGATTCACACTTTCTGATTTCAAAATTTACTACAAAGGTACAGTAATCAAAACAGTGTGGTACTGGCATAAAGACATATACTCCAATGGAACAGAAGAGAGAGTCCAGAAATAAATTCTCATAATATATGGTCAAATGATTTTGAACAAGGATGCCAAGACCATTCAATGAGGGAAAGAGCAGTCTTTTCAACAAATGGTGCTGGGACAACTGGATATCCATAAGCAAAAGAATGAAATTGCACCTTTACCTTACACCACATACAAAAACGAACTCAAAATAGATCAAAGACCTAAAGAGAAGAACTAAAATATAAAACTCTTAGAAGAAAACATAGGGGAAAATCTTCATGACATTGGATTTGTCAATGATTTCTTGGATATGACACCATATACACAGGTAACAAAAGTAAAAATAGATAAATTAGACTACATAAAAATTAAAAATTGCTGTGTATCAAAGGACAAAATCAACAGAGTGAAAAGGCAACCTATGGAATGGGAGACCCTATGGAATGCAAATCATATATCTGATATGGGGTTAATATCCAGAATATATAAAGAACTCCTAAAACTCAACAACAAAAAACCAAACAATTTGATTTAAAAATTGGCAAAGGACTTGAATAGACATTTCTCCAAAGAAGATATACAAATGGCAACAATCACATGAAAAGATACTCAACATCACTAATCATTAGGGAAATGCAACTCAAAACCACAATGAGATACCACCTCACACCCATTATGATGGCTACTATTAAAAAACCAAAAAATAACAAGTGTTGGTGAGGACGTGGAAAAATTGGAAACCTTGTGCACTGTTGGTAGGAATGTAAAATGGTGTAGCCACAATGGAAGACAGTATGGCAATTCCTTTAAAAAATTAAAAATAGAATTTCCACATGATCCAGCAGGATCTCAAAGAAATATTTGTACACCCATGTCCACAGCAGCATTATTCACAACAGCCAAAAGGTAGAAGTAACCCAAGTCTCCATTGACGGATGAATGGATAAATGAAATGTAGCTATACACATACCATGGAATATTATTTAGCCTTTAAAAGGGAGGAAATTCTGACACATGGTACAATATAAATGAACCTTGAGGACATTATGCTAAATGAAATACGTCAGTCAAAAAAAGACAAATACTGTATGATTCCACTAATAATGAGGTACCTAGAATAGTCGAATTAATAGAGACAGAAAGTAGAATGGTGTATGCCAGGGGCTGGCAGTGGGGTGGGAATAGGAGGTTGTTGCTTAATGGGTACAGAGTTTCAGTTGGCAAGATAAAAAGAGTTCTGGAGATTAGTTGCAAAACAATGTGCATGTACTTAACATGAATGAACTGTACACTTAAAAATGGTTAAAATGGTAAATTTTATGTTATGTGTGTTTTACTACAATTAAAAACTTAAAAAAATTTTTTAATAAAATAAATAGTAAAGATAAAGCTAATGTTTCCCTGGACCCCTACCCTGTCCCAGTCCCTTTCTCAGAGGTAACCACTTCTAAGTTTGGTAAGTATCCTTTTCAGTCCTTTCTTGGTGCATTTATATGCATGTCTGTACCTACAGAAACATATTTTTAAAATACATAAATTATATATTATGTATACTTTGCCTCTTTCTCTGAACAACATGTGTTTTAGATCATTATATATAGATTTACCTCACTCTTTTTAACTGCCACACAGTATTTTATAGTATAGATATACCTTACTTTTCTTATCTATTCCTCTATTGATGATATTCAGGATGCTTTCCTTGTTTCACTCTTACAAGCAGTGTTCCAGCAAATATCCTTGTAACATGTGAAGTACCACATGTAAATACCAAGAGTAAAACTGCTGAATATGAGCAATTTAAATTTTGATCCTGTCAATTTGTCCTCCAAAAGTGGGTGCTAGAGAAGCTGGCAACCTGAAAATGCCAATGAGTGCATATAAAAATTTAAATTCCCACTAGCGATACCTGATATAATTCAGTTTTTGCCAATTTGATGCTCAGTCAACCATCTTGAATCAGAAGCCTTTGCCTAACGTTCCATTTAATTTTTAGACATTTAACATCCCTTTTCTTCTACTGTATTCTCTTTCACCCCTAAAAAAAAGGAGAAAGAGAAAAAAATCCCTACCCAAATATCAGAAGACAACTATACGCAGACATAAAATCACTTAACATAAATTTCTTTATTATACAAAAATCTATATGAAAGGAAAACACAACTCGCAAGTTTGAAATGCTCTTCCCTGTTATTGATTCTTGAGGAAAATAATAAAAAACTAATAAAACCATTTTGCCCATGAAAAGCCCAAATTTTCTTCTAACATTACATATGTGGAATATTTAGTGGCATGATATAAGACACTGTTCTTAGAAAGAAGACAATGTTTTCTCTGCTTTCAGGAAACCTTCTCATACCAGCATAAGTAGAGTTAGCAATGAAGGGTTACAAATATTAATGGAGTATATGTTCTGTGCCAGGTACTGTGCTAAGCACCTTACACACATTATCTCATTTAATTTTTATAACACCACAAAATGTGTTCCATCACACTCATTTTGCAGTTGACACTGAGAAAGGCCATAAAACAGATCAAAAGTTATAGAACCAAAGCAGCAATCAGGATTCGAACCCAGGTGTGTTTGACCCCAGAGTTTTTCCAATTGTATTCCACTGACTTCCTGTGAAAATAATATTCAGAGTCACAACAATAACGGTGATAAATGTGATTTGAAGGAAAATGACTTAACTCTCCATTAAGTGTTTTCATTAATTCAAGTTAACTACAAATCATTTTTAATTGATTCCTCTTCCTCCTATGAGAGATGTGTACAAATTCTAAAGAAATGGACAAAATAAATGCTGACAATTAGGATCTAATCAAGTTATATGAACTGCTACCAGGAATACACCACTATCTTTCCTCTGACCATACTAGTAAGTTTCATATTTGGACATACATTGTTGGTAAAATGCACATTCAAGGTAACATCTCTCCTAATTTAAGTCTTACCTATTTCTCAAATTTAAATTGCAGGGTGACAAGACCGGGTACATATTTTTAAAATTCTTCACAAAGAATTTTAGAGTATTGTTGGAAAATTTTATAGACTATAAAACATCTTCTATATTTTTTTACGAAGAATTGTCACAAATACTGGGAAGTTTTAAATTAAGAGAATTAAGAAATTATTAATTATCACTGTTCATAATATATTGACTGACCATTAAAATGCATAATAAGGACTTCTACTTACAGAAAAATGGAGTAGATGTTCTCTTCCCAATTGCTCCCTCTAAGTATAACTAAAAACTCTTGACATTATATATAAAACAAACATAAGATGACTCTGAAAGATGGAGAGAAAGATAAAAACTAGGAACTTTAGGACCCAATGAATGGCATAATGATGAGTCCCTGGTTTTCTTTGTTGCTTTGTATATCCTGGAATGGGTGCTGGAGAAGCTGGCAACCTGGAAACACCAATGGGTACAGATAGAAAAAGCCCTAAGAAAAGCATGCTCTCTCTAGCCAAAAGACAGAGCCTAGCAAGGCCTATAATTTATAGACAACCGCTTGGCTCCAGCAAAACACCACAGAGAAAACTGTGGCCTCATTCCCATTCCTGACAGAAAAGGCTGAGTAGAGCCTAGACTTCCATTCTAGCCAGTCTGTAAATAAGGCACTCAGCACCCTCACCAGGGTAGTGTTAGAGAAGACTGAGTAGGGAGCCAGGACTTTCATCCCTGCTGGGTGGCTAAAGAAGCTCCACATTTTCAAGGTGCTAGTGAAGACCACCTGGGGAGGCTGAATTTCCACTCTCACCTGGTAGTAATGAGGCATCCCTTTCTCTCCCTGCTGATGTGGTGTCAGAGGAGGCCTAATGGAGACTCAGGACTTTCATAACCACCTAGTGGTAATGAAGCATCGCCCCCTGCAGTGTTGCAGAGACCACATGCAGCACTAATGAGGCACATGATCAAGTGGTATCAGTGGAGGCTTAGAAGGGAGTCAAAACTAACACCCTACCCAGCAGTAATGAGCAACCCTCCTCCTTTTCTTCCCTTCCCCATCCCATTTCAATGGAAGCTGAGTGGGAAACCTAGACTTCCAC